AGACAGCTGTGGAGATTATACCGGTACCGGACAACTTGGGGAAAAAATTATGGAGTGTGGAAAGAAGCCGACCTTTCCACAGAGTCAACGTCCTCTCCCGACACCAGCCCACAGCGACTACCCGTTCCCCAGGGAAGACGTCGGTGGAGCTGAGGCAGCTCAAGAGGAAGTTGGGGGTCTACAAGAAGCTGCACAAAACCCGAACTCCTCCTATGGATGCATCCAGTTCTTCGGCATCAATGACGCACACATTCGTCAAGGAAACTCCGGGCCCTGGAGAACAGCCGTTCTCCAAGCAGCCTCGGCCAGCTGCCAGCTCAGGAGTAGATAGCAACACAAAGGTGTGTACGCAATATTGGGTTGTACCCTATGACCCAATCAATGAGACTATCTTTGGGTACTCCGAGCAACGCCTGCCCCTTGTGCACGAGGTCATCTGCAACGGACGACGCCTCCAAGCACTCGTGAACAGCGAGCGTCACACACCGTCTACAATAAGGTAGTAATCGACCGACTTCGGGAAGAGTACAAGCCTTCAGGATTCTCTGCAATGATGGTGGACGGCAGCAAGTTACCAGTATACGGCGAAGCATTGCTACACCTACAAATAGGGCCACTGCGCTGGAGACCTGCACTCCCCATCACCAACATCAAAGGGCTTGACTTGATCTTCGGGCGAGACTTCCTGAAAAGATTCAACCCCGAGATCAACTGGGTGAACCGCACCGCAAGCATCTACAATAATGGACGGAGAGTACAGCTACCCAACTGGGACGATACAGGAGATATCCCAGAAGAGACACTCGCACGATTCGAGAAGGACGTGAAGTGAACTGACACCGGGTTCCTGGCGATAGCAACAGAGGTGGAGAACGATGGAGAAAAGACCTCGGAACCTCCGGGAAAGAACAAGGAATTATTGAAGGAGTTCCAAGACATTCTTCCTGACGATCTTCCGAACGAGCTACCGCTATACCGCACACATCAACACGAGATCATGGAGGAACCGGGTTCGAAGCCGACCTTCCGAGCACCATATCGGCTCAGCCCTGTGAGCTGACCGACATGAAAAAACAGATCGAGTATCTCCTAGCCAAAGGACTCATCCGACCATCCACTTCGCCATACGGTGCCCAATACTCTTCACACCGAAACCGGACGGAAGCCTGCGCATGTGCATCGACTACCGAGCTCTCAACAAGCAGACCATCAAGAACAAATACCGATACCACGAATCGATGACCTGCTTGACCAGCTTCGGGGAGCTACGGTATTTTCCAAACTGGATCTGCGGTCCGGATACTGGCAGATACGGATGGCGGACAACTCTATCCACAAAATTGCTTTCCGAACTCGGTATGGATCGTACGATATTTGGTAATGCCGTTCGGACTCACCAACGCACCGGCAACATTCCAAGCCGAAATGAACCACATTCTACGACCACTTTTGGACGAGTGCGTGGTGGTACCTGGACGACATCCTCATCTACTCGCGCGACATGAAGCAACACGCCGAACACCTGCGACGCGTCTTCGAAATTCTTCGACGAGAACAGTTCTACGTCAAAATGTCCAAGAGTGAGTTCGCCCTCGAGAAGGTCCACTTCCTAGGACACATAGTGAGCGCTCAAGGAGTTCACGTGACCCCAAGAAAGTTGAAGCCGTACGTACGTGGAAGACACCCGAGAACGTGAAGGAGTTGCAGCAGTTCCTAGGCTTCGCTAATTACTATAACAGGTTCGTGCCACAGTATGCGAAACTCGCAGCACCACTCACGGATCTGCTGAAGAAGAACACGCCCTACAAATGGGAGCCACAGCACCAGGAAGCCGTGGAGCAGCTGAAACAAGCACTCACGTCCGCACTGGTACTCGTCTTGCAAGATCCCGAACGCGACTACGTAATCGAAGCTGACGCCAGTGACCAGGCAGTGGGAGCAGTCTTGATGCAAGACCAAGGAAGTGGACTGCAACCAATCGCCTACCTCAGTAAGAAACTACACGGGGCAGAACTAAACTACCCGATACACGACAAAGAGGCCCTTGCCATCGTCATAGCCTTCAAAGCGTGGAGATGTTATCTCGAAGGACGACGAACAACCGTCTACACTGACCACTGCAGCCAGAAATATTTGAAGACACAACCCATCCTTTCCAGGCGACAGGTCCGGTGGATCGACTTCCTCAAGACACACTTCCATTATGACATCGTGTACAAGCCCGGCCACAAAAACAATGCAGACACCCTCAGCCGGCCTGCGCACGTTGCCGCTATTCAGATCGAAGAGATGAATCCACTCCTCAAGGGACTCTTCACACACGGGTACGCCATTGACCCCGAAATTCCCTTGGCAGAAAAACGACATCTGCTACAGTGGGACAATGACATCGCGTACCGGAAAGGATCAACGAAAATCTGGGTACCCTATTACCCTCCTTTGCGCCAATTACTACTTGAAGAATACCATGACGTCCTATACGCCGGACACTTCGGTAGCAACAAGACGCTGACCGGTATCGCAAAACACTACTACTGGCCCCACTTGGCAGAAGATGTTCAGAAGTTTGTCACCTCGTGTGATACATGTCAGCGGATTAAGAGCAGCAAGCAAAAAAAGGCGGGACTTTCCCAGAACAGCCATGGCAAGTGGTTAGCCTGGACTTCATTACCGGGTTACCACCTACCACCAGCGGTCATGACGCAATCCTTTTCGTCATCGACAAGTTCTCCAAAATGGGACACTTCATCCCGACACACACAACAGCGCGCACCGAGGAGACAGCACAACTCTTCGTTCGTCACATCATCTCTCAGCATGGCATTCCAACCACTCATCTCCGACCGAGACCCCAAATTCACCAACAAGTTCTGGAAGGAACTTATGTCTCTACTCGGGACCAAAATTGCCATGTCATCCGCCTACCATACGCAGACAGACGGACAGACCAAGCGCCTCAACCAAATTGTTGAGCAACTCCTCCGAGCAGCCTGCAAGGACGAGATCTCCAAATGGGACCTGCACCTGCCCGTTCTAGAGTTTGCTTACAACAACGCTACACATGCCGCTACTGGACAGACGCCGTTCTTCCTCTACTACGGACGCCACCCACTCACACCACAGAAACCGACCATATCCGCTACAGTCCAACCTGCACATGATTTCATCACAACCATGCATCAGCTTTGGGATCGGACCCACAAGTGCCTCCTCGACATTCAGCAGCAACAAAAGCGCCAGGCCGATCGCCATCGCAACGACCACACCATCACGGTGGGAGACTAGGTGCTTCTTGACACCCGCAACCTGGACATCAGCCACCTCCCATCTAAACTACGACCTCGCTTCTGCGGGCCTTTCCTCGTTGAAGCACAAGTCACTCCTGTTATCTTCCGCTTACGCCTGCCAGCTACCTGGAAGATTCACAACGCCTTCCATGTCCAACTTTTGATGCCCTATCAGGATCCGAACACGATCTTTGTCGGACGCCAACCACCGCCGCCGCCTCCGTCCTTGTTCAGAATGAACCCGAGTACGAGGTCGAGTCCGTGCTTGCACACCGCCATCGTCGGAATGGCGCCGTGGAGCTTCTCATCCGTTGGAAGGGTTATGATCCTTCTAAGGACAGCTGGGTCCCTGAGTCCGACATGGGTAACGCCCGTCGTCCTCTGCATGACTACCTTGTCAAGCAGGGTGTTACTTCTACCACCCAGCTTTGAGGGGGGGTGTGAGAGTACGACCCCGTTACACCATTGTTCCTTTTCTTATTTCCTTCCTCTTTTCATTTCTCTTTTTATCTCATCTCATTTGGTTTCCTATTCTCCATTTTCCATTAACCTTTGGTTTATCCTGCTATTATAATTATATCACCGACCAGGCTTGGGATGTACTGGTGCGCTATCTGCGTAATCCTGCCGTAATCCCTTAAAGCCAATAGCCTCGTGGCTATACGCAGGGTGATTCTACTTCTAGAAGGGTCTATTCCCTTAGGATAAGATAAACCTGGTTACCTGATGTACTTTGGAAGTATAAAAGCGCCTTGTACTGATCGATAGTGCAACCTTTCCTCGACACATTCGATCCTGTGACACTTGGTAATCAGAGCTTTTCTCACTCGGCCGCGCTCAGCTAAGCAGCAGCAGCGGGGATCCTGCCTCGAAAAACCGCCGGGGGCGACCAATTCGACGCCGATTTGGTAAGCACCAGCTCCGCGTTTTTCGAATTACCCCCTCGCGCGTGTTTTGAACAGGATGGCAACCTTCGACAACACCGAGGTTACCCAGCAGCTCTTCGCGCGCATCGCAACCCTTCAGGAGGAGATGCGAGCGGATCGCGAAGCGTGGCGAAACGAGTTCGAGCGAGTAACTCGACTCGCCGGAGCGCAGCACGACTCGACAACGATGACGACGCAGCAGTCGCAGCAGTTTCTCGAGGCTCCGAAACGCGCCCACCTGAGCCGTTCGATCCGAGCGATCGAAACTCCGACGCTGCAGATGGATCGCCGGGATGGAGATCTACTTCGCAGCCGTCGGATGGAGCTCGCCAGTCTGGGACGGTCAACGCGTACGACTCGCGCGACACTGATGTGAGGGCCGGCACTCGAGTGGATTGGCAGCAACAGTACCTTTCATCCACGGTGAAGCCACGTGGCAGCAGTTCCGCGCCGACCTGCTGAAACGATTCGAGCCGATAAATTCGAGTTTCCTTGCCCGGGAAAAAATTCATCGATGACAGTTCGGGAGTGTAGCGCAGTACACGCAGCAGATGGAGGAATTTTATAACCGCATTCCCGACCTGACCGAAGGGGAAAAAGTACAGTCGTACCTCGCCGGCTGAAGACCGAAGTCAAACGACAAGTGGCAGCGTCAAACTACGCGAGCTACAGTGACGTCGTTTCGGCAGCGGAGCGCTTCGACATGGTCAACGCCGGAACACGACGGACGCACGTCGGCAGTACGCGACAGGGCGACCGCTCGGCTCACACCACGTTCGCCGACCCGATGGAAGTCGACAGATTCGAGGGCGGCCACGTCCGAAAAACACCAACTACACGTGTGATTTTTGCGGGGTGCCGGGCCATCGAATCTTCGACTGCAACAAAATGAAACCGCACGCGCAGAGTATCGGGCACGCAACAGTGGCGGAAATCTTTGGCCAATCAGAAGCAAAAAACGGGAGTCGCCAGTGATTGCGGATCTAGCTGGCGAAAAAAAAAAGATCCGGAAAGCGGCCGCGGGATTCCGGAAAATCAACTTCGACGAAGCTGATTCGACGCGAGGAGGAAATGATGGGGGAAAATCTCCACCCCACGACCAGTCTTCGCCAGGGAAAATCGCCGAGGAAAAACGACTCCGCGAAAAAAGACTCTGCCGAGACAGGGAAACTCCTTGAAGACCCAAGAAATTATAAGAATTCGTTAAAGTTATCTTATAAAGATGCTTTAATGAAAACTTATGATTTTCGAGGGCTAGAGCCTTGGAGAAAATTCGGGAGGGACTCCAAAAGAAGCAGACAGCTGTGGAGATTATACCGGTACCGGACAACTTGGGGAAAATTAAGGAGTGTGGAAAGAAGCCGACCTTTCCACGGAGTCAACGTCCTCTCCCGACACCAGCCCACAACGACTACCCGTTCCCCAGGGAAGACGTCGGTGGAGCTGAAGCAGCTCAAGAGGAAGCTGGGGGTCTACAAGAAGCTGCACAAACCCCGAACTCCTCTACGGATGCATCCAGTTCTTCGGCATCAATGACGCGCACAGTCGTCAAGGAAACTCCGGGCCCTGGAGAAGAGCCGTTCTCCAAGCAGCCTCGGCCAGCTGCCAGCTCAGGAGTAGATAGCAACACAAAGGTGTGTACGGAATATTGGGATGTACCCTATGACCCAATCAATGAAACTATCTTTGGGTACTCCGAGCAACGCTGCCCCTCGTGCTCGAGGTCATCTGCAAAGGACGACGCCTCCAAGCACTCGTGGACAGCGGAGCGTCACACACCGTCTACAAGGCAGTAATCGACCGACTTCGGGAAGAGTACAAGCCTTCAGGATTCTCTGCAACGATGGTGGACGGCAGCAAGTTACCAGTACACGAAGCAGTGCTACACTACAAATTGGACCACTGCGCTGGAGACCTGCACTCCCCATCACCAACATCAAAGGGCTTGACTTGATCTTCGGGCGAGACTTCCTGAAAAGATTCAACCCCGAGATCAACTGGGTGAACCGCACCGCAAGCATCTACAACAATGGACGGAGAGTACAGCTACCCAACTGGGACGATACAGGAGATATCCCAGTGGAGACACTCGCACGATTCGAGAAGGACGTGAAGCGACCGACACCGGGTTCCTGGCGATAGCAACAGAGGTGGAGAACGACGGAGAAAAGCCTCGGAACCTCCAGAAAAACAAGGAATTATGAAGGAGTTCCAAGACATTCTTCCTGACGATCTTCCGAACGAGCTACCGCCATACCGAACATCAACACGAGATCGTGGAGGAACCGGGTTCGAAGCCGACCTTCCGAGCACCATATCGGCTCAGCCCTACGGAGCTGACCGACATGAAAAAACAGATCGAGTATCTCCTAGCCAAAGGACTCATCCGACCATCCACTTCGCCATACGGTGCCCCAGTACTCTTCACACCGAAACCGGACGGAAGCCTGCGCATGTGCATCGACTACCGAGCTCTTAACAAGCAGACCATCAAGAATAAAATCCGATACCACGAATCGATGACCTGCTTGACCAGCTTCGGGGAGCTACGGTATTTTCCAAACTGGATCTGCGGTCCGGATACTGGCAGATACGGATGGCGGACAACTCTATCCACAAAACTGCTTTCCGAACTCGGTACGGATCGTACGAGTATTTGGTAATGCCGTTCGGACTCACCAACGCACCGGCAACGTTCCAAGCCGAAATGAACCACATTCTACGACCACTTTTGGACGAGTGCGTGGTGGTGTACCTGGACGACATCATCTACTCGCGCGACATGAAGCAACGCGAACACCTGCGACGCGTCTTCGAAATTCTTCGACGAGAACGATTCTACGTCAAACTGTCCAAGAGCGAATTCGCCCTGGAAGGTCCATTCCTAGGACACATGTGAGCGCTCAAGGAGTTCACGTCGACCCCAAGAAAGTCGAAGCCGTACGTACGTGGAAGACACCCGAGAACGTGAAGGAGTTGCAGCAGTTCCTAGGCTTCGCTAATTACTACAACAGGTTCGTGCCACAGTATGCGAAACTCGCAGCACCACTCACGAATCTGCTGAAGAAGAACACGCCCTACAAATGGGAGCCACAAGCACCAGGAAGCCGTGGAGCAGCTGAAACAAGCACTCACGTCCGCACTGGTACTCATCTTGCCAGATCCCGAACGCGACTACGTAATCGAAGCTGACGCCAGTGACCAGGCAGTGGGAGCAGTCTTGATGCAAGACCAGGAATGGACTGCAACCAATCGCCTACCTCAGCAAGAAACTGCACGGGGCAGAACTAACTACCCGATACACGACAAAGAGGCTTGCTCGTCATCGCCTTCAAAGCGTGGAGATGTTATCTCGAAGGACGAAGAACAACCGTCTACACCGACCACTGCAGCCTGAAATATTTGAAGACACAACCCAACCTTTCCAGGCGGCAGGTCCGGTGGATCGACTTCCTCGAGACACACTTCCACTACGACATCGTGTACAAGCCCGGCCACAAAAACAAAGCAGACGCTCTCAGCCGGCCTGCACACGTTGCCGCTATTCAGATCGAAGGGATGAATCCACTACTCAAGGGACTCTTCACACACGGGTACGCCATGACCCCGAAATTCCCTTGGCAGAAAAACGACATCTGCTACAGTGGGACAATGACATCGCGTACCGGAAAGGATCAACGAAAATCTGGGTACCCAATTACCCTCCTTTGCGCCAGTTACTACTCGAAGAATACCACGACGTCCTATACGCCGGACACTTCGGTAGCAACAAGACGCTGACCGGTATCGCAAACACTACTACTGGCCCCACTTGGCAGAAGATGTTCAGAAATTCGTCACCTCGTGTGATACATGTCAGCGGATGAAGAGCAGCAAGCAGAAAAAGGCGGGACTTTCCTGTCCCAGAACAGCCATGGCAAGTGGTTAGCCTGGACTTCATCACCGGGTTACCACCTACCACCAGCGGTCATGACGCAATCCTTGTCGTCATCGACAAGTTCTCCAAAATGGGACACTTCATCCCGACACACACGACAGCGCGCACCGAGGAGACAGCACAACTCTTCGTTCGTCACATCATCTCACAGCATGGCATTCCAACCACACTCATCTCCGACCGAGACCCAAGTTCACCAGCAAGTTCTGGAAGGAACTTATGTCTCTACTCGGGACCAAACTCGCCATGTCATCCGCCTACCATCCGCAGACAGACGGACAGACCGAGCGCCTCAACCAAATTGTTGAGCAACTCCTCCGAGCAGCCTGCAAGGACGAGATCTCCAAATGGGACCTGCACCTGCCCGTTCTAGAGTTTGCTTACAACAACGCTACACATGCCGCTACTGGACAGACGCCGTTCTTCCTCTGCTACGGACGCCACCCACTCACACCACAGAAACCGACCACATCCGCTACAGTCCAACCTGCACATGATTTCATCACAACCATGCATCAGCTTTGGGATCGGACCCACAAGCGCCTCCTCGACATTCAGCAGCAACAAAAGCGCCAGCCGATCGCCATCGCAACGACCACACCATCACGGTGGGAGACCAGGTGCTTCTTGACACCCGCAACCTGGACATCAGCCACCTCCCATCTAAACTACGACCTCGCTTCTGCGGGCCTTTCCTCGTTGAAGCACAAGTCACTCCTGTTACCTTCCGCTTACGCCTGCCAGCTACCTGGAAGATTCACAACGCCTTCCATGTCCAACTTCTGAAGCCCTATCGGGATCCGAAACAGATCTTCGTCGGACGCCAACCGCCGCCGCCCCCCGTCCTCGTCAGAATGAACCCGATACGAGGTCGAGTCCGTGCTTGCACACCGCCGTCGTCGGAATGGCGCCGTGGAGCTTCTCATCCGTTGGAAGGGTTATGATCCTTCTGAGGACAGCTGGGTCCTGAGTCCGACATGGGTAACGCCGTCGTCCTCTGCATGACTACCTTGTCAAGCAGGGGTTACTTCTACCACCCAGCTTTGAGGGGGGAAGTGTGAGAGTACGACCCCGTTACACCACTTGTCCCTTTTCTTATTCCTTCCTCTTTCATTTCTCTTTTATCTCATCTCATTTGGTTTCCTATTCTCCATTTTCCATTAACCTTTGGTTTATCCTGCTATTATAATTATATCACCGACCAGGCTTGGGATGTACTGGTCGCTATCTGGCGTAATCCTGCCGTAATCCTTAAAGCCAATAGCCTCGCGTGGCTATACGCAGGGTGATTCTATCTTCTAGAAGGGTCTATTCCCTTAGGATAAGATAAACCTGGTTACCTGATGTACTTTGGAAGTATAAAAGCGCCTTGTACTGATCGATAGTGCAACCTTTCCTCGAGACATTCGATCCTGTGACACCTCCCATTCTCATAAGAGTCTCATTTTTCTGAGCTCTTGAGGACATGTGGTATAACCACGTTGGTCAAGGGCATAGTAGTATCTCCATCCTACTAGCTGGAAATCGTAGATGTAGAGCCAAACCAGGTCTTGGAATCATGTTGGAATAAGATCCGGCGTCATATCATTTCGATGGTGCAATATCCATCAGGATTGGGTGTTAATGTTCTTTTCTGCTGCGGTGGCGGCGGCCGCGGTAGACACTCGCGGCACCAACTGCTACAGATGATGGATTTTAACTTGTAATGGTTTGAAGAAGAATCCATCCACTCCCTCTTCCATGTAGAGTCTTCATGATGGGTGTAATAGTTGTAATTACTAAGGAACATGCGATTTGATGCACAGGCATCACTCCATTGCTGCCGGTGATTGGGTCGCTTGAGGGTATGAAGAAAACTTGCTTCTCCTCTCACTGTATCCATGGTTAGCAACTGTGTGGTATTCTCATCCGAGAAACGATGCACGGTTGGTAGAGCGCGTAGTTGTCGTGTTGCAATCTGCATCTCCCTCTTTTGTCAACATCATCGTGTTGCTGGGCGTTCTCATGCACTGCCCAAGTTACTTCGAGGCTTGTAATGCTTTGGCTTCTGGAAGAATTGCCTCCAATACATGTACGTAGGGTCGCAGGTAATGCGAGTGATTGCAAGATTCGAGGACATGACTCCTCGGTATGTCAATCCTCGTTCCTTTGTAGGATGGCGTAAATGCATGGAAACATGGCTAGATGATAGGGATGTTTTCTCATCAGGTTGATTTTAAGGTGCTCCAATCAATCACTACGGATGGCTGAGATTCGTAGTGAAGATGAATCGACCAGCTCCTATTACGAAGTAGTTTTCTCGCTGTCCCTGGTGAGACTTACTGTACTTGAAACAATTGTCCGCATGATTTGCATAAATCAGGTTTTTTTTTCTTTACGACCTCTACATATTAAACCTTAAGGTTTAATGGTGGTACGATTTGGGAGGGGCACATAGTGGATTTTGTTCACAGCACAAAATTTCATATTAGTACATCGGATCTAACTCATACCCCAAAGGATACACGAAGAGTACATCCGGACAAATAGTTCCAAGCATAGAGGGCAAACTTTAGAACTACTATGACGGAAACAATTGTCTGGATGTTTTGCACTAATCAGGGGTTTTGGGCTTTCGGACCACTGTACATAATTTCGTAATGTTAAACGGTGGTACGCTTTGGGAGGGGCACATAATGGATATCGTCACGCGCTAAATTCCATAATAGTACACTGGATCTAACTTAGTGCCAAAAAATATACAAAGAAGTACATCCAGACAATTATTTCCCAGGACAAAGAGCAAACTTTCGAGCAGCGTTTCTAGTACCTAGTCCACCAACACTTGGCCTTGATCACCACCTGCACCCTCCTAGGCATGTTATCTACGAGGTTAGTGCAAAACTTTACAGGGATCTTCTCGCACTCTGCCTGGACCACCCTTTTGCATAAGGGGGTGAGCACTAGGAAAATCGCGAAATATTTGAGCGTATGCAATAGTATTGTGCACGATTTCATATTGAATGTTATCTCTGAGACTAGCCACACTGAGGTGTGGCCAAAGATGTCATAAGTCGATTAGTCCCATCTTATCATGGGTCGTCTTCGTCGTACCGTTGTAGGTAAAATTACGAGCAGAGTGACGAAAACTAGCGTGTCTGCCGCAAAACTTAGGGTAACATAGGACGGTCGACTGTGCACCCTTTCACTAATAGCATCACATTTAAATCTACGGGTCTCATCACGGTGCAGCAGTCGAAGAAGCTCCGACAGGTGGGGAAGAATATCCGTGTTGAGGTCTGGTGAGGATGAGGGTCACTCGAGTGCTATAGACTCATGCTCTCCGAGCCATTCCAAGCCTAGGCGGGACACATGGCTTGGAATGGTTTTGGAGAGTATGAGTATCATTCTAATAGTGTAAGGGTGCACATTCGACCGTCCTATGTTACCCTAAGTTTCGCGGCAGATATGCTAGTTTTCACCACTCTGCTCGTAATTTTACCCTACAAATGGTACGACGACGACGATCCGTGATACGACGGAGTCAATCGACTTATGGCATCTTTGGCCACACCTCAGCATGGCTAGTCTCAGAGATAACATTAAGTCAGAAATCGTTCACAATGCTCTTGCATACGCTCAAATCCTTCGCAATTTTCCCTAGTGCTCACCCACTTACGCAAAAGCGTGGGTCCAAGAAGAGTATGAGAAGATCCCTGTAAAGGTTTGCACTAACCTCGTAGATAACATGCCTAGGAGGGTGCAGGTGGTGATTAAGGCCAAGTATTGGTGGACTAGTAACTAGAAATGCTGCGAAAGGTTGCTCTTTGTCCTGGAAATTATTGTCTGGATGTACTCTTTGTATATCTTTTGGCACTAAGTTAGATCCAGTGTACTATCATGGATTTTTGTGTTGTGAGCACAATCCACTATATGCCCTCCCAAAGAGTACCACCATTAAACATTAAGACTGTATGTACAGTGGTCAAAAAGCCAAAAACCCTAATTAATGCAAAACATCCGGACAATTGTTTCCGTCACTGTACGTTTTTGGTACCTAGCCCACCGACCTTTGACCTTGACCACCACCCGCACCTGCTAGGCATGTTATCTACGAGGTTAGTGCACACCTCAGCATGAATCTTCTCGCACTCTTCCTGGACCCACCATTTTGCGTAGGGGGTGAGTAGTAAGGAAAATCGCAAAGGAGTTGGGCGTAGGCAAGAGTATTGTGGACATTTTTGGATTGGAATGGTTTCTTATAGACTAGACATGCTGATGTGTGGTCAAAGACGCCATTTGCTAGTTGGCTCCGACTTATCACAGATTGTCTTCGTCGTAACATTGTAGGGTAAAATCACAAACAGAGCGGCCAAAACTAGCATAGACACTGCAAAACGGAGAGTGACGTAGCACGGTCAACTATGCACCCTTGCACCACTAAAATCACGCTAGGATCCGCAGGTCTAGTCACGGTGCACCAGTCATAGAAGCCGTGAATTTTCTGGAGTATTATCCAGGGCCGGCTGTAATTCATGTAGTCGCATGCTGAGTGGACAATTAATGTGCAGAAGCATGTGACGTGGTCAAATGGGACCAAGATCAACTGCTTCTGCTCCAATGGTCGCCCGTTTGCATGGATTCTTGAAGGCACAACCCTGCAGCGCCACCACATCAAACAGACGGTAAACCATGGGGACAAGGCCCGGTGATTGTGTGGGAATGTTTGACATGTGCGAGGGTGGAGTCCATATGCAAGATTGAGGGGCGCATGGATAGGCCCCTGAATGAGGGTATTTTGCACGATGAACTCGAATCGACCCTCGATTTCTACAACATTTCCCCCTCTAAGGTTTTTCCGGTGCGGACAATGACCCAAGCATTTGTCATGCCTAGTGCATGAACGACTTGGAGAGCATGAGTATGTAGCGTTGGAGTTGCCTTCTTCCTCATCAAACCTCAACCTCTGGGCTTACCTGAAAAGGGAGCTGGCCAAGTATAAAAGGCCTCCCTCTAGAACGCTGGAGATTTGGGAGCAGGTCCAGAGAGAATGGGAGAAGACCCATACTGAGGTTTGCTCTAACCCCATCGACAACACGCCTAGTAGGGTGCGGGTGGTGATCAAGGCCAAAGGTCGGTGGGCTAGGTACCAAAAACGTTGTTCTTAAGTTTGCCCTCTATTCTTGGAACTATTTGTCAGGATGCACTCTTCGTATATCCTTTTGGGTATGAATTAGATCCAATATACTATTATAAAACTTTGTGCCGTGAACAACTCCACTATGTGCCTTATGTACCACGATTAAACCTTAAGGCTTAATGTGTAGTGGTCGTAAAGCCTAAAAACCATAATTGATGCAAAATATGCGGACAATTGTTTTCGACGA